TATTAGTGATTTAGAGCATTCTTTCTCCAAATAGAACTCAGAACTAGTACTGCTTATTCTAAGTTTGATGCTTTATTTAATAAACTATACTTCTTCCAAAAAGGAAAAAGAGATTGATTAGAAAACATACTAAATTGGCTAATAATGAACTTTCACCTCAGCAATTTCACATACAGAAAATCATACTGTTTTATTGGGGTTTTTTTGTATTTTTGTATGAATTTTGAAGATAAGCTATAGCTTTACTTAAATACATATGGCTTGATGTAGTAATAAAAGCAATGTTATGATTGTTAATAGTTTTCAGTTCATTTGAGAATTGTTTGTTCATATCCTTTGACCACTTATTTTTGTGTACACATGCACAATTTTTATATAACTCAAATACCAAATCTTTACCAGAGAAATTTGATACAAAGATTTTCTTCCCATCCAACCACTTCCCTTCTTATTTTAGGTGAAGATGTCAGTAACTTTAAAAAAATTATGCATTCTAGAATTTTTCCATGAATTAGAATTAAGCTCAGTGGCCTATAGTTTACAGACTCCAATTTCCTCTCATTTTGGAAAATTAGTGCATTTGCCCTTCTCCAGACCTGCTACAGCTCTCTGATTTTCCATGATCTTTAAAATATCACTGACATTGGCACAGCAATCACACAGTCCAGTTCTTTCCTCACTCAGTAGTTAAGTGATTTGAGGGTAAATAAGTGCTCTCTTCTTATCTTCTTTTTATCTTGAGTTTCCAGTCCCTATTAACCATTTTCATTCTGTCTTTTGTATTCTAAAGATCATTTCTTGACAGAACCCATTTTCTCTAACAGGAACACATTTCATGGTAGTACCCTTGGAAATATATAAGTTTAAAGGAGGAACAAGTTTAAGGAAAACCCAAGAACCTAAGTACTCTAAGTTGCTTAGAGGACATCCAGGTGAAGCTTTCCAGCAGACAACTGGCAATATAGGGTTGGAGTTGAGGAGAGGATTAGAACAACATATATGACTTTTGTAGTTTTCTTCGGAGAGAGGATAACTGAACCCAGGGGATCTGATTAGGTCACCAAAGGAGAAGGATAGAAATAACAGAGAAAAGAGTCCAGGACAGAAACTTAGAGAACAGTCACATTTGGGAACAGAAGACAATGAAATAGCAAAGGTGACCAAGAAAGAATTGTCATAGAATTGAATAAGTAGGCAAAAGCACCTTCCCAAGAGACAAGGGAGGAGAGAATTCCAAGAGGAAAAGGCAAGCAACAGTTTCAGAAGCTGCACAAGGTGAAGGAAGTTGAAGACTAAAAAAAGTGTTAGATTTAAGACTCACAATAGCATTTTCATTAGAGCAGTGCAGTTCTACAGGAGCAATTGGAAGAACAGCAGTTTGGTGTCACAATAAAATGCTGAAGGAACAAAAACCACTAATAAATCCCAGTTATAGCGTTTTAGGGATTGGAAAACACCTTTGTTACAACAACCTTGTCAAGTGAGTAGCACAAATATTAATCTTTCCGTTTTGCAGATAGATAAACAAAGACTCTGAAAAGTTAAGTGACTTGTCTGTGGTGATACAACCAGAAAGTGTCTGAGATAGGATTCAAATCTAGAACTCCTAATTTTTAAATAGAGTCTGGGACTCTATTTAGCATGCCACACTTCCTCTTAAAAAGGAAAGTGAGCCTTAATAGAAAACACGTTAAGATGGCTAATAATGAACTTTTACCCAAGGAATTTAATGTATTAAAAAAGCATACTAACAGTTTTTTAGATTTTTATGAACTTTGAAGATAAGTTATATCTTTACTTGTATGCATATGGTTTGATATAGTAATAACTTTACTAAAACATATAACAAAATTTTAAAGTTGTAAAGAACATTAAAGATCAAGTATATCTCTCATTCAACACAAAAATCTTTTTATAGAAGTCATTCCTGATAAATAATTATCCAGCATTTGCAGTTTTTCTTTCTTCCTTATGAGAGAGACTTTGTATAGCCCCTAGGCAGCTGTTCCTTGGATTAGGTGAGGCAGAGAGCTCAGCCACTGGGCTCTCACAGAGCATGGCCTCTGCTGGACTTCACTAGGCTCAGCTTTTTTTTTTTAAGGCAGTTAGAGTTAAGTGACTTCCCAGGGTCACACAACTAGGAAGTGCCAAGTGTTTGGTCTGACGTGGGATTTGAACTCAGGTCCTCCTGACTTCAGGGCCAGTGCTCTATCCATTGTACCACCTAGCTGCCCCTTAGGCTCAGCTTTTAATGGGCAGCTGCAGCCTTCACCGCTATTAGTCTGTGGTTAGACTCAGTTCAATGCTGTATCAGCTAAAGCAGTATGAGAGCACTTCTTTCATTTAGAGTGCTACAGCCATTTCAGCAAAGGCAAGGATCCTTAACCTAGAGATAACCAAAACCTTTTTTTTTCCTTTTACTCCCTTAGGCAGGACATAGGAAAGGTCTCTTCTTTCTTGTTCAGCATTGTTTTTTGTAGGAGCAAGTTCCTTCAATGAGGAATCTCCACCTTCGCTTATGGCAGGCCTGCACAACATATGGCCTATGGCCTGCCAAAGGATTTCAGAGCTGGTGAAAAATGTAGGTTTGCAGCTTAGGTTTGATAGCAACAATGATGGTTGGTTGTGGCAGGTCATGTGACAGACAGGATAGAGTGTGCGATGGCAACCCTACATTTTTCGCAGGCCACCAGAAATCTTTTGGTGGGCCACATGTTGTGCAGGCCTGACTTATGGGGATCAGCTTATTATATTTCCCAAATTCTTGTTGGGGTATTATACAAATAAGTGGCTGAGAGAAAAGGCACTCAGAGCCCTTGGGCAAGTTCATTGTCTTTGCAGGTATTCCCTTATGCAGTTGAGCTCTTAAACCTCAGACCATTTTTAGAGTGTGGAATGTTTATTTTACGTCTGAAAGGGCTTCACTTTTATTCTGGTTTTGCCTCTTCTGACGTTCAGATTTTGCTAAATCTAAAGGTATACAAATATACACAAAGTAAATATAAGGTCATTTTTAGGAAAAAGAGACTGGTAGGATTAGGAAAAGTTTAACTTGAGCTGAGCTAAGACAGAGAAGTGAGGAGGGAGTGCATTCCAGGCCTGACAGATAGACTATTCAAAGGCACAGAGATGGAAAGCCAGTTTGGCTTGATCAGACGTATAAGGAGGGTGGAAAGATAGGTTAAGGCCAGGTTGTAAAGGGTTTTAAAAGCTAAACAGGAGAGTTTATATTTTATGCACAAGACAAAATGGAATCACTAGAGTTTATTGAGTAAAGGAATGACATGGTCAGAGCTGTACTTCAATAAAATCATTTGATTTACTAATCTTTTTAGCAGCTTGTATGGAGTTTGGAGGAGAGAGCTAAAGTAAGGAGATTAAGTAGGAAGGTATTGCAATAGGCCAGGTAAGAGATTATGTGTGACTGAACCAGGGGTGTGGCTGTGTAAATAGGAAACAGTGGGAGAGATTGTGCTAAAGTAGGAATGACAAGGCTGGCAATTGCTTAGATATTTGGAGAAAGGGAGAGTAGAATTCAAGATGACATCTAAGTTGCAAACCTCTGACTCACTGTATAACAAGCCAGTCACTTAACCTCTCAGTACTCTAGGGCCCAGAATTGTCAGACTTTCTGCCTGAAACCTGCAAAATTCAAGTGCAACAGTAAACACGATTAAAATGTAATTGAGAAGTGTTTGACAAAATAAATAGAAATACAATACAATATAGATAATGGCAATTTGTGGTTTTCTGAGTCAATATGTGGTATTTGAATTTGATACCACTTTTCCAGGCAACTTTCTTAAGACTAAATCGCAGTGAAAGTGCCACTCTGAATTGGTAAAGGGAGTTTCCTAATCTGGGGAGTTAACTACATCATGAAACCCGTAGTTTCAGTGCTTTTCCCTTCTTGTAAACAACCCTAAGTACTTGATAAATGTGAATTCGTAGTAGCAGCAATGTTATGATTATGATCAACTGTGAAGGACTTAGCTACTCTAATCAATACAATGATCCAAGACAATTCCAAAGGATCCATGATGAAAAATGCTATTCCCCTCAAGAGAGAGAACTAATGGACTCTGCGCATTGGAGCACACTTTTTTCACTTGACATTTCTTGATTTTTTTTCAACATGACTTTACGTGTATAATGAGTATCATTTTGCTTGCCTTCTCAATGGATGGGGGAGAGGATGAAAGGAGGAAGAGAATTTGGAACTCAAAATTTTTTTTTAATTAATGCTAAAAATAAATAAATAATAAATTTGAAAATATAATTTAAAAATGAGTGTTGAGTTCAAAACTGGCTTGAATTCAACTTTTATATAGTGGAGGGACTAATTAAACAAGAAATTGAAAGACATTTTTAAAAATTCTATTTCTTCACCAAGCTGGAAGCATTTGAATGTTAAACACATTTGAATGAACAGACTTTTATATCCTAAAGGGATGCCTTTTGCTTTCAGGAAGATGAAATATTGTGGTTGTTGAGAAGGTAATAGTAGGTGGCCAATTTGATCAAAATAAACTACAGCATTAAAGAAAGAGAAGTTCTAAGTCTTCTAATTAAACAATAATAATTAAATCTAACAATTGTATAATGTTTTAAAGTTTGCAAAGAATTTTACATTATTTCATTTGATTCTTGCAATAACCATATCTGATAAGTTCAACAGGTATGATTGCCGCATTGTACAGTTAAAAAAACCAAGGATGAGAGCCATAAATTAACTTGCACAATACTACTCAGGTAGTATGTATTTAAAACATGATTTGAACACAAGTCTTTCTGACCCCAGCGTTTTATTCTCTGTGTCATATGATGTCTGTATTTGCCTTTTAATTCCATTTCTTATCTTTAATATTTGATCATTTGAGGTAAAGACAGTAGTGATATTATATAGTTAAATTTCTTTATCAAGCTATATACTATAAGCATGCATTTTATGGAGCATATTAAGGCAAAACATGCTTAAATAACTGAACATCTCTTTTTAGGAGGAGAGATTCATGCATTGTGTCTCATATTAATGACTTTGAAGAAATTGTTCCAAGTTCAAATCCATCCTCTCAAATTGACATAGAGAAGAGCTGTTTATTTACTCAGAATGACTATAAGGAGGTGTTCCACCTTGTTACTTGTTCTGAGGAATGGCCAACACTTCAACCAAACAGTCAAGGTAAAGTATTTGTAAGTCTTAGTATGCATAAAAACAGCACTTACTGATTGTTTGATTTACACTTCTGAGAATGATTTTTTTTCCTGTAGATTAAAAATATATTGAAGATGCTCCCTAACAGAATTGTATTTTTCAGCTTAGCTACGTTAAGCAAAATGATGCATTTTGCCACTTTTATGACATCCTTATTGTAAGCTAGGTATTTTTAGAAGGTTCGGCAATTATCTTCTGAGTTTGAACAATCTTGATAGGCTAAAAACTGGCATTAATTTAACCAGGTAAACCTAGATATAGATAATAGTAATTAATCTTCCAATGGGTTTCATTGCTATTGGTATAATGATACCAGAAATCTTAATGCTGATCTAACATAGCAGTTTTTTGCAGTACTTCAGATCTTGTTTCCAGCAAATTATTTGCTCAGAAATGGTGATGTGATGTGCAAACTAGACTGAAATTCCCTAATTTTATATTTCCATAGAACTATATAATATAATAATAACCATATCATCATCATCATCATCATAGGAAAGACTGGATAGCTCTAGCACTATTAGAAAATTCAGTAATTCTTATTGATATGAATGTAATGGTTCTCAAAATGTACTTCATTATTTTATCTATTTTTTTTCCTCAAAGCTTTGTGGATTTTCATAAATTTAATAACAGTAGCGCAAATGTTAGTTTTTTAAATGTAACTATGGCTAATAATTTTCATCTTGATGGGACTTTTGTGTATTGTTTCTTTTATATTTAATTGGTGCTTTTGTTTACCCTTTTACTTCCGTATTACCATCCTCTGCAAATTACTCATAGAATGCTACCTTGTTACAAATAAAAACAGTTAAGCAAAACATCACAATGACCTCATTTGCAATATTCTGAATAGGTTCATCTACACTTAGCTACCAGTCCTTTAGAAACAAGATTGGTCATTGCACTTAATCTCAGTTCTCATATTTTTAAATATTTTTATTTTCATTATTATGGTCATTGGCTCTCACCCAAGAGAATTTCCCCAAAGTCTCTAGAGTACCAATCCCTGTCCTATGATAAGATTGTATCCACTCAAGACAGAGATTTCTATCAGCTCTGAATCTAGGAACTTGTTTAAATAGATTTTTCTGTAAAACTTCCCGTTAATAATTTCTACTTGGTCGACTTCTAGGAGCTAAGATGGTGGAGTAAGCAGTAAGTTGCTCTCCCTCTTCCATATTGAATTCTAAAAACTCAGAAAGTGAAGCCCCAGGAAAAAACCCTGGAACAGCTGAGCCAGCAGAAAGATGAGGTGCAACAGTCTTTTAGCCCAGGAAGCTTGGGGAATTAGCAAGAAAAGTCCCTCTCACTCTGATGGAAGGGGAGCAGTATAGGATGGGAGGCACCTTGGCAAGCCAGTGGCGAGCTCCACCTCAGCAAACCAGTGGGAGATCTTGAGCCCCAGGGTGGTGGAGCAGGCAAGCACCAACACAGGACCCCAAGTGCCTTGACACAGGCAAGGGAACTGGTAGACTCCAGCTTGGAAAACCACCATCTGCACCAGCGGGTCAGCATCGTCCAGCAGCCAAACCTCCCTGTACTTCAGAACAACTCTAGGCAGGCAGGCATCCAACAGCAGCCAAATCTTCTGGTGCTTTGGAGCAACCTGGGTGAGCAGGCATCCTCCAGGGGCCAGACCCTCTCCCCCACCCCAAGAGCTTCAGTGTTGCTGATCCCAGCTTAGCACCAGCTAAGCTGTCAAACCCCTAGAGCCTCCAGCTGCCAGCACCTGAGGCCCCAGCACATAAAACTAGTGACCAGGTCCCTGGCCCCCAGCACGAGAAGCTTGGGTCAGTGCCCCCTGTGCTGCAGAAGGAGAGCTCAACTTTAAATAGGCAAACATCATGAGGAAAAAGCAGAAATAAACAATGACCATAGATTCTTTCTATGGGGATAGGGAAGATCGAAACACAAATTCAGAAGAGGACAACATTATCAATATACCCACATCTAAAACCTCAGAGGGGAATATGAACTGGTCTCAAGCCCAAATGCCTGCTTGGAAGAGCTCAAGAAGTATTATAAAAGTCAAATAAGGGAGGTAGAAGAAAAGTTGGGAAAAGAAATCAGAGGTATGAAAGAGAGAGTCAGCAGCTTGGAAAAGGAAGGAGAAAAATTGACTGACAGAAGGGAGGGCAGATTGAGGGAGGTAGTGGTCAAAAGTGAAACTCTAGTGAGGGAGGAAAGGGAGAAAGGAGAGAGAAAAGCATAAAAAGGGGGAAATAGGATGGAGAGAAAGACACAGATAGTAGTCATAACTGTGAATGTGAATGGGATGAACTCTGCCATAAAACAGAAGTAGATAGCAGAATGGCTTAAAAACAATAATCCTACAATATGTTGTTTACAAGAAACACATTTGAAGCAGAGGGATACACACAGAGTAAAGGTAAAAGGCTGGAGCAGAATATATTATGCTTCAGCTGAAGTTAAAAAAAAAGCAGAGGTAGTAATACTCATCTTAGACAAAGCAAATGCAAAAATAGATCTAATTAAAAGAGATGAGGAAGGAAACTACAACCCGCTAAAGGTACCATAGACCATAAAGTAATATCATTACTAAATATATGTGCACCAAGTGGTATAGCATTCACATTCTTGGAGGAGAAGTTAAGGGAGTTACAGGAAGAAATAGACAACAAAACTATACTAGTGGGAGACCTCAGCCTCCCCCTCTCAGACCTAGATAAATCTAAACAAAAAATAAACAAGAAAGCGGTTAAAGAGGTGAATAGAGTTTTAGAAAAGTAAGATATGGTAGACCTCTGGAGATAATTGAGGGAGATAGAAAGGAATATGCCTTTTTCTCAGTGGTACGTGTCACCCACACAAAAATTGGCCATATATTAGGACATAAAAACCTCACAACCCAATGCAGAAAGGCAGAAAGATTAAATGCATCCCTTTCAGATCATGATGCAATGAAAAGTTACATGTAATAAAAGGCCATGGAAAAATAGACTAAAAATTAATTGGAAACTAAATAATCTAAATACTAAAGAATGAGTGGGTCAAACAACAAGTCTTAGAAATAATCAAGAACTTCATCCAAGAGAATGACAATGAGACAACATACCCAAACTTATGGGATGTAGCAAAAGCGAATTCTTGGGGCAAGTTTTATATCTCCAAATGCTTACATGAATAAAATAGAGAAAATGGAAATCAATGAATTGGGCATGCAACTGAAAAAGCTAGGGAAAAAAAAATTAAAAATCCTCAATTAAATACCAAATTAGAAATACTGAAAACCAAAGGAGAGATTAATAAAATTGAAATTAAGAAAACTATTGAACTAAGAAATAAAACTAAGAGCTAGTTTTTTGAAAAAACACTCTGAATCACTATTGATTAGGGAAATGCAAATCAAAACAAATGAGGTACTCCATTACACTTATCAGATTGGCTAACATGACAAAACAGGAAAATGATAAATGTTGGAAAAGACATGGGAAAATTGGAACATGCATTGTTAGTGGAGATGTGAACGTTCTGGAGAGGAATTTGGAACTATGCCCAAAGGGCTATAAAAATGTACATACCCTTCGACCCAGCAATCGGTTCTAGGTCTGTATCCCAAAGAGATGGTAAAAAAGGGGAAAGGACCCACATGTACAAAAATATTTATAACAGCTCTTTTTGTGGTGGCAAAGAATTGGAAATTGAGGGGATGCCCATCAATTGGGAAATGGCTGAACAAGTTGTGGTATATGAATGTAATGGAATAGTATTGTATTATAAGAAGTGATGAGCAGGTGGACTTCAGAAAAACCTGGAAAGACATATATAAACTGATGCTGAGTGAAATGAGCAGAAACAGGAGAACATTGTACACAGTAACAGCCACATTGCGTAATTACTAACTTTGATAGACTTAGCTCTTCTCAGCAATGCAAGGATCTAAGACAATTCCAAAAGACTCATGATGGAAAATGCTATCCACATCCAGAGAAAGCACTATGGAGTCTGAGTGCAGATCGAAGCATATTATTTGCTCTCTCTCTTTTTGTTTGTTTTGTTTTGTTTTGTTTCTTCTTCTTTTATTTATTCATTTATTAATTCATTCATTCGTGTATTTATTTATTTGTGTTTTCAGCATTCACTTCCATAAGCTTTTAAGTTTTAAATTTTCTCCCCCTCCATACCTTTCCCCCTTCTCAAAACGGTGTGTAATCTGACATAGTACATTCTGTAATCTGACATAATACATTTGTATTAAGCATATTTTCACATAAGTCATGTTGTAAAGAATTAGAACCAATGAAGGTAACCATGAGAAAGAAGAAACAAAACAAAACAACAAAAACCACCTCCCATAATATACTGCTCCCCTTCCACCATAGCAAGAGAGACTTTTCCCATTAATCCCCCAGCTATTAATTCTCAGGCTACAAGACTGCTGCACCCAATCTTTTTGCTGGCTCAACCATTCCAGAGTTTTTCCTGGGGCAATATTTTCTGGGTTTTTAGAGGTCAGTAAGGGAGAGTGAGAGTGACTTACTTCTTACTCCAACATCTTGGCTCCCAGAAGACTGTTATTTCTTCTCTCTAGTGGTTCCTCCTATTGGTTCTAATTCTTCTTTACAACATGACTAATGTGAAAATATGTTTACTATGAATGTATATGTAGAGCCTGTATCAGATTGCACACTGTCTTGGGGAGGGAGGAGAGGAAGGAGGGGGAGAAAATGTAAAACTCAATATCTTATGGAAATGAATGTTGAAAACTAAAAATAAATTAGTTAAAAAAAAATAATTTCCTAGCAGCTTGTAACTTTGAAAAAGGAATGCAGGTCCTCATAGAACTTGTTTTTTTTTTTAATTACCCAGATTCTATACATAGAATAGAATTTTGTCAAGGTTTTTTTTTACAAAAAAAAAAATCCATCAGCAAATATTTATTAAGCACCAGTAAATAGAGCATTATGTGCCAAGCCCTATGTTAGGTTCTGGGAATATAAGTA